CGAGCAGTGGAGAAGCCGGGGGCTGCCACCCAGAGAGAGAAAGCGCCATCGAATGCGCAGTGTGTTTGATGCACAGACCGACCAACACCTAGTGAGAACAGACAACTGGTCGTCCAGCAGCGACGACGGAATCATCGCGCACCACGTCGGCGAGCGTCGTGCAAACTCAATCGAGCAGTGGAGAGAGGAAGGCAGCACGGACTCGTTGCGGCCACGCCCAAGCGAGAGGAACCTCTGGCCGTTGTTTGTATCCTCCCACACCACACAAGCTAACGACACAACTCTCGGCTCTAAGAAATTTAATTAATATTACGAGGGGACAACGCACACACAGCACGCACACGAATAAGACTTTCAAATTTTTTTTTATCTTTGCGTTTCAAAAAGGGTTGCCATTTCAAGGTGGTGCGTTTAATATCAACTGTCCTCTTGGTTCTTTCGGTAAAGTCACGTAGAAGAAAAGTAATAAAATAATAAAAATAAAACATAATAAAATAAAATAATTCTCACGACGTTTCGGCTACAACGCAAGCAGCCGTCTTCAGGTGAAGAATGAGACAATGCCAAGCTAGGAGCTTATATATATATGAGACAATGCCAAGCTAGGAGCTTGCAACTCGGCGTGCGACGCGGCGTTGCGACGGGGCTCGCAAGGGAGCTGTGGCAGTCGTGCCTCGAGGAGAGATGAGACAATGCCAAGCTAGGAGCTTATATATATATAAGCTCCTAGCTTGGCATTGTCTCATTCTTCACCTGAAGACGGCTGCTTGCGTTGTAGCCGAAACGTCGTGAGAATTATTTTATGTTATTATGTTTTATTTTTATTATTTTATTACTTCCCTTCTACGTGACTTTACCGAAAGAACCAAGAGGATGAATCCCTGCAGTCACGAAAGCTTTAAATCGAAATTCAATATCAACTGATCGTGCAAAGCAGTTGCTGCCGTCAAGTTACATGAATAAGAAATGTTTTAGTCATTCATTTTCGTTAATTGCATAATCTTGCCCATGAATTTATTGACGTATACTTGCTTTTGCATACTAGAGTGTCATGTGTTTGTTTAGAATTAAAATTGCTTAACACCAACTGTTCGAGTGCTTCTTTCCAAGTCCATGCAAAACTGTCTTATTCATAAGAGCTGTTACCTGCGATGAGATATGAAAATGAAGACCTAATATAACATAACACACACTAAGATAATCGGTAAATGTTTAATCAATGATAATCGTGTTATCCTGATTGATACAACTCTGGATAAACGAAACTAGGCCTAATGATCATAACTGCACACATTAACATAATCGCAAGCATCCGCATAAATTACTACGATTATCTCCGTGATTATCATAATTTATGCATATAATTACACACACTAATAATTTATGCATATTAATACACGTTAACATAATGCGATTTGCGCATTTTTCGGAAAATTATTAATTTTTATAATTTTTATCAAAATTTCATAATTCCAACACATACAACACTTCACAGATGGAATCAAATCACGGATTTTATGCACTGTACTGAATCGGACTTGGATCTTATGTTTGTTTAGAATTTTGGAGATCTTTTTGGTCACGCCTGCTATGTATGGCAACGTGATAGTTTTGGTCAGAGTTTCATGTGGCTGTTTCTGTATGGTGGGAGAAACAGCTTGGCGGATAGTGCGGTCAGAGTATCCGTTCATCCTGAGGGCCCGATGTACATGTCTTAATTCACCGGCCAGGTGGTGTTGGTCAGAAATACCATGGGCTCTGTGGTATAGCGTTTTGATGAGAGAATTCTTTTGAGATGGGTGGTGGTGGGAATCCGGTTTCAAGTAGGAATCTGTGTGGGTGGCTTTCCTGTAGACAGAATGTCCCAAGGATCCATCAGGCCTCCTCTCAAACAGAATATCCAAGAATGGTAGTTTACCGTCTTTCTCCACTTCCATGGTGAATCTGATGGATGGGTGTCTAGAATTGATGTGGTCCAAGAAGTGGTTCAATGCTGGGAGGCCATGTGGCCAGATGACGAAAGTGTCGTCCACATACCTCTTCCACAAGGAAGGACGCAGGGTGGATGTCTGGATGGCGTCTGATTCAAACTTTTCCATGAACATGTTGGCTATAACTGGTGACAAGGGGGAGCCCATAGGGGTACCCTCATTCTGTTTGTAGAAGGTGCCATTCCAGGTAAAATAAGTGTTGGTGAGGCAATGCCTAACCAGCGCAGGTACATCAGAATTCAATCCATGTTGGACTAAGTCCTCAATTATTGTTAGGGTGTCCGGTACTGGGACTTTGGTGAACAAAGATACTACATCAAAGCTGACGAGGATGTCATCAGGAGATAGTACCATGTCCTTAACCATAGAGACTAATTGGGTTGAGTTCAGTACTGCCGAAGAGGTCTTGCCTGTGAAGGGGAGCAGAGTATCTGATAGAAAACGGGCTAGTTTGCACGTAGGAGAGTTTATCGTCGACACGATGGGTCGTAGCGGGGTGCCTTCTTTATGGATTTTGGGAAGACCATAGAGTCTGGGAGGTCTAGCCGCCGATGGTTTTAGAGAGGGACGTTTGCTTGGTTCGATTAGGGAAGTCGAACTCGTGATGATGCTGTTGGTTTTTGTCGTTAGGTTTTTAGTGGGATCGTTTTTAATTTTGGAGTAACTCCCATCATTAAGAAGGTCCAGGATTTTGTTGTTGTATGAATCTTTATCCAGGATGTTTGAGAGGAGGCCTGATGGATCCTTGGGACATTCTGTCTACAGGAAAGCCACCCACACAGATTCCTACTTGAAACCGGATTCCCACCACCACCCATCTCAAAATAATTATCTCATCAAAACGCTATACCACAGAGCCCATGGTATTTCTGACCAACACCACCTGGCCGGTGAATTAAGACATGTACATCGGGCCCTCAGGATGAACGGATACTCTGACCGCACTATCCGCCAAGCTGTTTCTCCCACCATACAGAAACAGCCACATGAAACTCCGACCAAAACTATCACGTTGCCATACATAGCAGGCGTGACCAAAAAGATCTACAAAATTCTAAACAAACATAAGATCCAAGTCCGATTCAGTACAGTGCATAAAATCCGTGATTTGATTCCATCTGTGAAGGATGTCGTTCCTGACTTACAGTATCCTGGAGTCTACAAATTGAGTTGCATTTGTGGTGATTGCTACATTGGAGAAACGAAACGTCATGTTTCTGATCGTGTCCGCGAACACAAGTCAGATCTGAAACACGGCAGAACTGATTCTTCGGCTGTTGCCGATCATTGCTACAACTCGGTGGGCTCTCATGAAATTGTCTTTTCCGAGACCAAGGTTCTCTGCAAACCTCCTGGCTACCATCAAAGGTTTGTACATGAAGCCATACAAATATACAAACACAGACATAATTTCAACCGTGATGACGGTTACAAACTGAGTAATCATTGGAAAGATGTGATTAACCATGCAAAAAAGATTTAACTACACTTATTTGCCAATATTATTTGACAGACAACTATTACAGTTTTACCATGTTTAGTGGTTGTCTCCCTGTCACAGGTTGAGTCACAAACCGTACCTCTCCATAAACAAAGGCTCAGCCTTTGTTATGCAGTCTATTCTTAGTCTTAAGCCTCACCTTACCATATTAATAAAAAGTATGCGGCCCTTGCCCCACCACCTTCACCAACCATTATATAAACGGAGTGGTAGCTCCTGCAATCTCTCATTTACTTGATACAGCTTTCGTGGCTGTGACGGTACCACCTGAAGACGGAAGCTTGTGTTGCCTCCGAAACGTCGTGATTTTTATTTTATTTTACTTTTTAATGTTTTTACCTATGTGACTTTACCGACAAAACCTAAGAATATGAATCCTTGCAGTCACGAAAGCTTCAAATCTAGAATTGTGTTGTTGGTTGTTGCAGGTTGTTCACCCGTCCATTGGTCGCACGTTAGGTTGCTTGTGCTTAGCTGGGACAGCTATTTCTTTATCACGGGGGTGGGGGGGGTGATTTAGTGGATTAACGTGCGCCAAGGGGGGATATTGTAAACACTTGTGGGTTATGGACAGCGGGGTCGTATCAGGACAAGCAGGTGTTGCTGGGGGACAACGGCCGGAGAGAGACAGCTCGTTAGGTGATTATGGGATGCAGGGCAGTGATTGGCCGGTTGTTGTTGTCAGAGACAAGGTGGCGCCAGTAAGTCTGGGGATGGGAGCAGGTGGTGGCGGGGGCCACCACCTGCTCCGACGGAGACGGTCGGAGCAGAAGAAGAATAGGTTAGCAGTAGAGACGGAGACGAAGAAGATATGAGAGATAGAATAGGGTAGCAGTGGAGCAGGAGAAGAAGAAGTGATGAGAGAAAGGATAGGCTAGCAGTGGAACGGGAACAGAGAGACAGTTGGAGTGAGATGGAGAAGCCGAGAGAGAGAGTCGGAGAGAGATGGAGACGAGAGAGAGAGACAGTTGGAGAGAGACGGAGACGAGAGAGAGAGAGAGACAGTTGGAGTGAGATGGAGAAGCCGAGGGAAAGCGAGACGGTCGAAGCCGAGACAGGCGAAGCAGAGAGGAGAGTCGGGGGAGAGAAAGAGAGAGAGAGGGAGGGAACAGAGCGAGCGAGGCCAGCGGAGTGCGGCGAGCGAGCAAAGAACGCGCTGGAGTCTTGGTTGTGGACTGTGCTGAGTTTGATGAAAATAAAGTGAAGACGGAAAAAGAAGAAGTTGTCCGCGTAAAGTTCAGCACCACAATAATAATAATGGTCAAGGATAATAATAATAATGGTAAAGGATGGTCATAACGGAGTGGCAGCCAGGGAGCGGAACGCGTCTGAGAGGTCGTCCACCGAGGAGACGGAGCGATGAGCTTCTCGCGTGCACGAGCTGGATGGATCGATGCATAGCGGGACCGTGAGAGGTGGTGGCTCGGGGAGGCCTTCGTCCAGCAGCGGATTGATCCTGGCTGCTGGCAAAGATGATTGCGGGTCACGCGACGCGCACGCTCACTCACCGTGGCACGCGCTGGAGAGTAGCAGCACCGACCACAGGAGGCGGACGTTTCGGCCGCAGGAGGAAGCCATCGGTGTCCCCGCACTCCTCGCGTCTCCACACTTATGCTCTCCTCCTCCTAGCTGATCCAGACTCGGGTGGCCTCCTCCCTCTCTCCCCTTCCCTCTCCCTGACCCGGAGGCCTCGCGATGCCAAATGCGGCTCGCCCCCTTTTCATCCGCTGCCTCGACGCTCGGCAGATAACGCGAGGACAGGGGGAGGGGGGCAGATTGCGGGAGAGAGGGCCCAGGGTGAACGAGTGGAGACGCGTGTAGATGACGCAGTGAGGCTCTGTACTTACGGCGTACTGACTGACGTCAGGCAATGAACGGGTTATTAGCCCCACCCCTGGCCCTGCTGGGACCCGAACCACATTTAGATGCCTTGGTGAGGCCGGTGTACCATGGTCTGGCTTGGCATGTCAAACATCCAGTGGAAAACTACCCATACCGGGAAGGTCCCGTGCGAGCGCAGCTCGGATGTACCAGTGGAAAAGTGTGTCAACATAATCCCCATGACCCACACGGTGTGGGGAGGCCCTCATCTAGCAGTGGAGTGGCTAAAGGGCTGCCCGTGTGCGCATGCATTAATTTACTACGCTTTCTATTGCTTGTGATTTTTGTCCAGTACAGAATTTAATATTAAAATGTTTTAGAGATCCGTTTACTTACTCTAAACGTGTATCAACAGCTTCCGTTCGCCACTAAGTGGCGGTGACGTCACAATGGAGCCTGTGCCATGCGAGGTGCACTTTGGGGCCTTTAAAGTGTCGAAGGCTCGCTGGCAGCAGGTCACGGGACAGACCCAGGTGCTGTGGACTGACGAACTGAGATGACTGGCAGATGTATAAACTCTGCTCCACACTGCCAAATAGCAGCGTTTTAGCTGCCCGGCGGTCTGTTCGTTGTTTTGTGCGTTGCTCCTCTCCCCTTCGTTGTTGCTCCACAGAGGCCGATCTTGACATCGCTGATACCAGTCATCTACAAGTCCAATCAGCTCCACATAATTCTGTCACCTATCAGTCAATCTCTTCTCTCGGCCGTGCTGCACCTGTTATCCCCTTCTCTCTGGGTAAGCAGAAGCTGGGTATGCAGACTCCATGTCCCAACCAACGCAGCCTCGCTTGCCGAAGGAGCTCACTGATGGGAATGTGTCCAGATATTTAAAGGATCTGTGAGCTCCTCACACTCCAGTCTGGTTAAACCCAGGAATTATCTAGGCAGGCCAGCCTGAATGGTTCAAACCGGTGCAAATGTTCCTTTAGAGGACTCCACTTTTCACAAGGATAGAAACGGGAGCGTATAACTGGCCGAGAAGACCCAGAGCTTCGTATGGAGTGATATACCAGGTAACTTGCACACTGCGTTATGCAGCTGATGAAAAGACAATGCCGCTTGGTTGATTTGGAGTGAGACCTCGGCTGCCAAACCGGAGTCAGTCATAAGCAAACTGCCGAGGTACTAAAAAGTATCCACTCTCTCCACAACTGCCCCGTCACTCATGGGGAGAGGATTGATGGGGGATGGTGAGGACCCATCTCTTAGTCGCACGCTGTCGGTTCAGCAGTAGCATCTCCAATAGCAATTGCCAGATCATCCACATACATAATGGTCGACATAGGCTAACCACTGCACTGGCTGTGAGTGTAGGGCAGTACAGCAAGAGGCGCATACGAAACATTAAGACTGGTGACCTTTGACAAATGTTGGCGCTCGGAGAACCCAAAGGTCTCTTGGTCTCATGGCAAAGTTGCTGAGTTTGCAATGCTGTTAATGGCAGGGTTATGGTCCCCGTGGGACAGGTCCCACTCCGGTTCCTCTCGGATGGGGGGGGGGGGGACCCCCTTTCGAGGCACGCCCAGCGTGAGGCGGCCAGTTTACGCCGATGACATCAACAAGCCCCGCCCATCGCCCACCACCAAGCCCCGCCCATCGCCCAGTGGCACACGTGACAATGGAGGTGAGAATCTTGTTTGCAAGTAATCGATTAGTTGAACGATCGAAGAGCCCAGCATTAGTCACGGCCCACACTGGCTTTCGTTGGAACCCTTGACGACGCACGCGTGATCGTTGTGAGCCTATCGTGCGCCCACGGATGGCCACACAGCAAACTTAACCATTCACGCATTCCATTCACTCAGTCCTCCTACTGTCAACAAGACCCTCATTCATCCAAGGAGTCGTGGGTTATCAAGTTTATCCCTTCAAGACACTTGCTTAAATCAACACAACGGTATTCTAATCTTGATTTGAAGCTTTCGTGACCAAAGAGTATACAACGGTATTCGGCAACTCAACTTCATGCACCGTGTGGATTATTTCTCAAACGTATCCCCACCATTTTCCACTCCCCAACTCTCCCATTGTGGCATCGTTTTTGTCCCCCCACCCCCACCCCCGACCTCCGCGATCATCTGCCGGCGCCCGTGCTCAGTTCTGGCGGCTGCGCCGGAGATTGCGCCCAGCGGTGGGGATTTCGTCCTTGTAGACGCTGTAGTTCTTCATCACCGTGTCGATCCAGGGCAAATAGCGTGAGACGCGGGCGTAGATCCCGAACTTTCCCTTGCGGTTGCAGCCCTCGCCCCAGCTGATGATGCCGGTGGAGAACCACGTGTTGGCATAGGGCGTGACGTGGGGGCCGCCGCTGTCGCCCTGGCACGCGTCCGTCTTCGAGTCGCTGTAGCCGGCGCAAAACATGTTCTTGGTGATGGTGTAGCTGCTCGATTCCTTGCACCGTGCCATGTCCTGGTACGGCACAAAGGACGTCTGCAGCACTTTGGCCTGTGCACGGGGACGGGCGGGGATGCGCAAACAAATATAAATCGGCGAAAAAAGAATTGCATTACAGAAGAATGAAAAAATAGTGGACAATCACACGTTAATATTAAATAAAATTCATTTATTGATAGCTGAATCGGCCAAATATTAACATGCATTCAGGGCCATTATGTATATAGACGAGGACACGTGTCAAATGGGTGGGTGGAATGTGGAGGTGGGTGGGAAGAGGTCACGGTACCTTTAACCCGCGCTCGCGCAGGTAACCCCAGCCGCTGATGCGAGCCAGCTCCTCCTTGAGCACGTTGTCCGCAAAGTCCGGCTCGGGCAGGCAGGCGGGCAGCACGTACTTGTTGAACTTGATGGGCTCGCTCATCTGCAGCAGCGCGATGTCGTTGTCGTAGGTGGCGTTGTTAAAGCGGTTGTGCATCACCATCTGCTTGATGGATATCTGCTGCTCCGTGGGCTCAGACACCGTGCGGTTGTGCTCACCTAGGGACGGGGAGGGAGAGGGATGGGGGGGCATGTAAGCAGCGAATTGGACGATGTGGTGCTGCGGTTCCAGACCTCTTGCATGGCGGTCCCTGATCAAGAACGCTGCCAACATTGCAGCCCAACGTCGGCAACTCCCCAAGCCGTTGCCGTGCCCAAGCAATCCTACGGTGCGGCCACGCCGCCGGATTTCATCACTCCACCTCCATGCGCGGATGACCCCGCCGGACGCGCCCCATTTGTCATCGTCGACGGCTTCCGCTCCTTCGTAATTATTGACCGTCGGCCATCACTCCCTTGTAGCGATCAGCCCTGGCCCACCGACATTCTTTAGAAGTTGCGAGTGAAGCCACTGAACCTGCTCTTGGTTTGGACGAGACGCGATGCAGGGCGACTCACCGACGATGACGATGTCGGGCTCGGACGGGATGCAGTGGGCGGCCGTCAGGACCCACTCCCGGTTGAGGATGGTTCCGCCACAAAAGCCCTCACCCTTCTTGTCCAGAATCAGAACCTGGGAACAGAGGCGAGGGTGAGACGATGAGGGAGCCTCGACTCCATGGGCTGTGCCAGAACGCTTGCCAAGGTCACGTGATGCAGGGCCCTTGTGTTCCCTAGTTTTTCAATGGAGCGTCTTGAATTTTATCCAGCAGATCGGTGGTGAGTCAAAATTTTAGTTGGGGGTTGATTCAACTCCATCATCCCTCTAGGGTTGATAAAAAAGAGTACCACTTTGTGGAGAAGTCGATCGTGATTGATTTATGGACAGATTAATATCTGCCATAGGAATGTGGAATTTCCAACACTGGCTCATGGCTGTAAACACCTGAAGCTCAGCAAGTCACCTTGACTTGTATTTATTTACGTGTAAAGGAGTTCCAGACCGGGTGAGTCTTGCAAGCGGACTTTAGTCCGTCTTCAGTGCAGTTCGTCGCGCTTCAGGGATTCACTCCGTTCAGGCACCACCCGAGCCTCTCCCCTCTGCTCCTCTCTACCCGTCCCTTGCAGGACTCCCCCCGACTCTCCACCAATCCCTTTCGTTTGTCCGAACGGCATCCCAACTGACCCCTCATTTGCATCTTTCAAATGATTCTGATGACCAATCAGATTTTAATGGTTCTCCACCTTCCAATCAAATTGTGCGCCCGACGTCGGCTCCCCCTGCGACAGCTCCTCGCCAGTGAGAGTCGGGTGCGCTACTTGAGCCAACGAGCCCTGAGACCCGGGGAGCATTTTTTTAAATCAGGTCCGCCACTTAGCGCCCTTTCCATATGCATTGGAGCTGCAGAGTTTAACCCCACGGTGTACTATCTGCTGTTGCTGATGCTGCAGTGTCTGCTGCTGCTGTTGTTGTGTACCTGCCAGGGACACTCCCCGAGGGGGCATTCTTCTCCCCCCGCGATGCGCAAGTCCCCCTCGGACCCCTCTGCAATGTAGCTGCTGTTGTCGGACACCGTGGAGTGAGGGGGCACGGGTTGGACCGGCGTTGCCACAGTGACGGATGAAGCCTCTCGCTTCGACCGAGGCTTCTTCACCTGCACCTGGATTCTGCCACACGGGAAGGGCACTGCCCCCCACACCCCACAAGCACAATGCCGGTGTCCCCCCCACAAATGAACGTGAGACACGTTCACCGAGGTTTGACGTCTGGCCAACCCAAACCGATCTATCCAAGAGCAACCTCCAAGACCTCCCCAAGTCAAGATGTTGTGGCCATGCAACCCAAATTACGGACCATATAGTGAACCGCTGAAGTCTGCACTCCTTAACCGGAGGAGCAAAACTACCAAAACTCTCCCCTGAAGCCCTCTTGTCATGGAGAGCAGACATCGACATCGAGCTCCATAGCAAGTATCGACTCGAGGAGTAAAATCGCTACGACCATGGTTCCTGTTCCCGTGAACTTCACCAATTGATCTCTACAGCGATGTTGAGGACGCGCTCGATCAGACATCTCACCCACCACACTGTGCCATCACCACACTGTAGATCACAATAACACACTCGCCCACTCACGCATTCACACATCCATGACACTGCAGGTCACAACAATCATCTTACTCCATACCACCGCTCTCCACATTGGAATTCCCTCCTACCATCAGCGTCTCTTCCCAAAGCTCCTATAATAATACTGTAATAACCGCGCTCTTATCGATTCAATAAACCCGTTACACTGTTAATTATTTTCAGGACCCACCATTGTGACCTCTACTTAAAATTCAATCCCACGTGACTTGCTGCAGGAACAAATCTACATCGGGCCCTGTTCAGTCATAAAGTCATTATTGGAAAATATGTACTATACTTGGCTAATTCATTAACCTCATTGTCAAACTCAAGAAACCTAAGACGTCCATCTAATTGCCTTTTACCTTTCCCAAGAGCAGTAATTAGAATTGGTGACACCAATACATTGGAACAACAACAACTTGGTTTCCTCCCTGAACATCGTAAATCTTCCTTCAAAACATAAAATCAAGCAGAAGATTAGTGCTGGATACGACCACATTTGCTGGTGTGATTTGTAACTTTGATTCTTAACCGTATATCGATGGTTACATTTTCATGTGTAACTTTATTGAGGAACTCTGTGTTGTCTTGGTGTGGTCTGGGACTATTGGTGTCGTTTTGTTGCGGATTCCTCCTGCAGTCTAAATAATGATTCTGACAACTTTGGCAGTGCTGTTTGTTGCTGACCACTTGATGTTTTGGGCCCTATGGCCTATTGTGCTCATCAACTGTGACAAAAACAAACCCTGACCTTACAATCGAAACTAAAAAGTCGACAAGCTAAACACGTATCCTTGTCAGTTCATAGCTTGCACGCACGACTCAATCCCATTTGTTTGGCCGAGTCTGGTGGTAGAGGGTTTCACGACGCAACATCGATTGTGAGCCGCCCCCGCTTTTCCCGCGCGTGGCAGCGGGCGGCTGGCGGCGTTGGTTACCCATAGGCCGGCAGGACTTGCCGTCGGCGTGCAGTTTGTAGTCCTTGGCGCAGGAGCAGGAGAACTTCTCATCCGAGCCCTGGCAGAAGTGCTCGCAGCCACCGTTACGGAAGGTGCAGCCCAGCTTGGCTGCACGGGGGGGGGGGGGGGGGGGGGGCGTCATTTCGCTCGTTTGCTTCACCCTCACTTTCGTCTTAATTCGCATCTCTGATGGTTTCGTGGGAATCGCTCTTCAACTTTTACCGGTGAGCGAGCCGGAGCAACAATCGGTCGGCACGTCGTCGAACGCCGGCACGCGCGATGGTTGAGTGCGATCGGCCGCGTCGGGTAGCTACGGTCATTCACAACGTGGCCTGACCCGAACATCGATTATATTATTGGGTCGCTCGCTTCCAGAGTTTATTCTGCGTCGTGTCGCCTGCGGCAAAACACGACGCCGCGTAAGTTGATATCGCAGAACTGCTTGCGTGGTGCGATGATGTGTGGCGCGTACAGATTTCGCAGGTGTTCCCGTCGTAGCCGCTGAGGCAGTAGCAGGTGTACTGGTTGATCCCGTCCTTGCAGACGCCATTATTCTTGCACGGGTTGGAGCTGCACTGGTCTCCGTCTGGGGCACGCGAGACACGGCACCACCATCACGCGCACCGTCACCGGCGGCGTTTGCGTTCACGTCCCCGAACTGTGCCATGCGGTTCGTCACTCACCCGAGTATTTGTTCCAGAAGTCATTCTGGAAAAAAGCACAGAGCGAAGGGCATCATTTGGTGTGGGGGGTGGGGGCGTGAGGAAGCGGGACAGGGTGCGGATTGTGGGGCCTGCTGCCCATGGCACCTGTGTGTGTGTGAGCTTGACGGTCACGCATCCAAACACTTTCTAGGCTCGGACCCTGATGACCTCCCCACCAAGGGACGATCACCGCGAGCATCCTGAGAGGTCTGGGCACGCGAGTGTGAGCACAGTCCGGGCTCGCGCCGTTCTCATCGCGAGGGCTCTGCTGTGCTTCACAGACGGCAGCAGAGTCCGCGGTGGGTCCACAACATGGGGCCATGCCGCTCTCTGGTTTAACCCAACGGAGTAATTTTCGAGTAATATTTTACGTTTGGCCCGCGACTCCGGCCTTGGGAAAAACGTCGCGGGATCGATTTCATCCGCTGCGATGAATCCCCGTGGCACCGACCAGGGCGGTTCGCTGGGGTCGAACCGCCGCGAATCCCCGCGGCACACAAAACGACGACCCGCGTGCAGCGCGAGGCCCGGGGGCCGCAGCTCGGAGGCCGCCGCCGCCCCTGGGGCGTCTCGGGTGGTTGCGATGGCGCGAGTTGGGCCCCCTCACCGTTGCGTCGATGTTCTCGAACACCTCGCGCGCCTCCTCGAAGCTGCAGCGCTCCTCCATGCACTCGCGCTCCAGGTTCCCCTTGCGCAGCTCCTCCCAGCCGCTGTTGGCGCGCCGCACCCGCGCCAGGACGATCGCCGCCTGGCGCCGCTGTAGGAACACGTTGGCTGTGTGCGCATGCGTGCGTGTGTGTATACGTGCGTGCGTGTGTGCATACGTGCGTGTGTGTACGGGGAGCGGTAGTGTAGTGGTTAGCACGCTGCGCTACGAATCCGACGACCCGAGTTCGATTCCCGCTCACGGTTACGATTATCTGAACCCGTCCTGGGCCTCCCCTAGTTCGACTCGGCCTTAAGTTAGTGCCTGGTGCGGTATGTAAACATCAGCACTGGGCTTCATAGCTGCCAACATCCGTGAGTTGATCTGACAATCGAGAGCACAAAATCCGAGTGTATTTGAGGATTAAGCGCAGCCCTGAAAGTGCCTACTCACACAACTCCACTCGACCACACTGTCCAGATGTATCCCAAGATCTGGGCGTCCCCACTCTTCATCCCACCACACGCGACCTGCCGATCGACCGCGGGTACCAAATTTGTGCCGCTGGGTGGACAGAGGCGGTGGCGGAGGGATTTGAGAAACTCGCCCCCATTGTTTCAACTGCTGCGAGATGGAAGCGAACCGGTCCCCCTTGAGGTTGAGTCCAGCACGCTGCCGACCGTCGCCCTCACGCACAGAACCATGTGTGAGGCGACGCACGCGAGAGGGCACGCGGGCCCAGCCGTGTTGTCCTGTGCGGTCTCTTCACTTTTCTCAAGGCCAACAAATATTTACCAATCCCAAACACGGGCTACGGCTATATCTGATCCGCGCACAGGTCAGCGAGGGAGCGAGAGAGGGAGCGAGAGAGAGCGAGTGAGAGAGAGCGAGAGAGAGAGACAGAGAGAGCGAGGGAGAGAGAGCCCCCCCAGTGGCACCACCGCTGGGACACGGGACGCGCTATCAGGACAAACACGTACCACGTGAGTGTGTGTGTCCACGACACTGTTTGCTCTCCTCGCTCTCTGTTTGACTTGGGACTTAGTCTCAACACCAAAAACATTCGATACATAGTTCACATAAAACGTTTCTGACCAAGAACTACGATGCAAACGTTGAAAAATCTATTTTGGTTGTCATCATCATCAATCGTCGAATTTATTTCCGGCTCAACTGAGCATCGAGGTGGTGACCCTCTCCTGCGCACAGCCCCGAGCCAGCGGTGAAAGTTCCACATTCACATAGCGGGGATGAGCCTCTGTCGACATGGTAGCCGCTGTTGATTTTCCCACGTAGTGGTCTACACTTTATTGACCCCGAAGGGATGATGGGTCCAATCAACGCCCTACACAGGATTTGAACTCGCAACATACAGATTTTTTGACTAAACCCACAAACGTGTAAAAAGTACACGTCCTTTTTACATTCTGCTAAAACAATCAGCAGTTCCTGAAGAACTACATTGTGGTCCGCTTGTATAGATTGCACGAGAATAAATATGAGAAAATGCGATCAACCAACAGCTGATGTGCTCACCACTGCGCCATCGCCTCAACCAAACCCTCATGCGGACAATGTGGATCGTGCAGAGTTTGAATACCACTGCGTCTCCAGACGTTGCACAAACACACGGCGTCGTGCGCATTGCCTAGACACCGAAACATCTAGAGGCGAGAGAGAGCCATCGGATTCTATTTGCATTGAGAGACAGAAAGATGAACGTATGGGAATATACGCAGGCTAATGGCATCATCTAAACTGTTAAGAGAAGCGAGTGAGGCTTGGACAGGGCACGTCGCGGCTCGAAGGGACAATGGGGGGTGGTCAGAAATCATAATAATAATGATTGTCTAGGATGATCATGACGGAGTGGCGGCCAGGGAGCGGAACGCGTCTGAGAGGTCGTCCACCGAGGAGACGGAGCGATGAGCTTCTCGCGTGCACGAGCTGGATGGATCGATGCATAGCGGGACCGTGAGAGGTGGTGGCTCGGGGAGGCCTTCGTCCAGCAGCGGATTGATCCTGGCTGCTGGCAAAGATGATTGCGGGTCACGCGACGCGCACGCTCACTCACCGTGGCACGCGCTGGAGAGTAGCAGCACCGACCACAGGAGGCGGACGTTTCGGCCGCAGGAGGAAGCCATCGGTGTCCCCGCACTCCTCGCGTCTCCACACTTATGCTCTCCTCCTCCTAGCTGATCCAGACTCGGGTGGCCTCCTCCCTCTCTCCCCTTCCCTCTCCCTGACCCGGGGGCCTCGCGATGCCAAATGCGGCTCGCCCCCTTTTCATCCGCTGCCTCGACGCTCGGCAGATAACGCGAGGACAGGGGGAGGGGGGCAGATTGCGGGAGAGAGGGCCCAGGGTGAACGAGTGGAGACGCGTGTAGATTACGCAGTGAGGCTCTGTACTTACGGCGTACTGACTGACGTCAGGCAATGAACGGGTTATTAGCCCCACCCCTGGCCCTGATGGGCCCCGAACCACATTTAGATGCCTTGGTGAGGCCGGTGTACCATGATCTGGCTTGGCATGTCAAACATCCAGTGGAAAACTACCTGTACCTGGAAGGTCCCGTGCGAGCGCAGCTCGGATGTACCAGTGGAAAAGTGTGTCAACATAATCCCCATGACCCACACGGTATGGGGAGGCCCTCATCTAGCAGTGGAGTGGCTAAAGGGCTGCCCGTGTGCGCATGCATTAATTTACTACGCTTTCTATTGCTTGTGGTTTTTGTCCAGTATTAAATATTAAAATGTTTTAGAGGTCCGTTAACTTACTCTAAACGTGCAACAACAGCTGCCGTTCGCCACTAAGTGGCAGTGACGTCACCATGGTGCCTGTGCCATGCGAGGTGCACTTTGGGGCCTTTAAAGTGTCGAAGGCTCGCTGGCAGGAGGTCACGGGACAGACCCAGGTGCCGTGGACTGACTAACTGAGATGACTGGCAGATGTGTAGTGCTGATCTTTACGCAGACAACTTCTCCTTTTTCCGTCGTCACTTTTTATTACAAAACTCTTTACATTCCACAACCGTGATTTTAGCACGTTCTCTGCTCGCTCGCCGCGCTCCGCTTGCCTTGCTCGCTCCGCTCCCTCCGTCTCTCTCCATCTCTCTCCCCGACTCTCCTTTCTGCTTCGACTGTCTCTCTCTCTCGGCGTCTCCATCTCACTCTGAATGTCTCTCTCTCTCTCTCGGCGTCTCCGTCTCACTCTCTGTTTCTCATATCTTCTCTCGTTCCTGTTCCACTGCTAGCCTATTCTATCTCTCATATCTTCTTCTTGTTCCTGCTCCACTGCTTCTCCCCGACTGTCTCCGTCCAGCTCCCAGCAACAACTCCCCGTCCCTCTCTCACGCTCCCGTATTTGTAGTGCTGAACTTTACGCAGACAACTTCTTCTTTTTCCGTCGTCACTTTATTTTACAAACTCAGCACATTCCACAACCAAGACTCCAGCGCGTTCTCTGCTCGCTCCGTTCCCTCTCTCTCTCTCGCTATATCTCTCTCTCTCTGTGCGTCCTGGGAGGCGGTCGCACCTGCTGGGCGCTCCCGTTTTCCGAGGTGTGTGGACGGAGGCCTGTGCTTCAGGGTATCCTGAGCCTGGCCTGAGGGAGAGAGTCTTCGTTCTTCTTTCTCGTTACGCCCTGGGGTTGCTGCTGCCGTTTTACTATGGCACAGTATCCCAGGCTGGAGTGTCTCTCACGGAAGAATGGCATCATATGCTTCCCTCCGCCCGAGACCGTCGCAGCTGCTGTGGTCACGCGCATCGGCCATGCGGGCCTCCTCGCCACCCAAAGGCAAGATCGCGGCGTGGTTGTGTACGTGACCCAGGAGAGTATGGTGGCGCGCCTAGTGGAGACGGGGCTCGACATCGGGGGGGAACTGTTTGTGCAGTGCACCCCACTCTCGACTCCCGCCGTCACGGTGCTGCTCTCAGATGCGCCGCCATTTCTCAAGGGCACAGACATACAACGAGATCTGCAGCGCTTCGGGACGGTGATCTCGAGCGTTACCATGTTGCCATTGAGAACGAAAGACCCAAAACTTGCACATGTATTGTCGCTCCATCGCCAAACATTCATGATACTGAAGGATGGTAACGCGGACCTAGATGTGACCCTTCAAGTACACCATTGAGGGTTATGTCTACACCGTGTTTTTGCCTCCAGGGCCGTGCCGCAGTTGCTATGGGTGTGGTGGCGTTGGACACACCCGAAGAAACTGCCTGGCAAAAGGGGAAAAGCAGCTCAGCCTGCGCAAACATCAGCAGCAGCGCGAGAGCAGCAGCAACAGCAGCAGGTGCCGCCGCCGCCGCAGCAGCAGCAGCAAAGGCCGCTGCCGCAGCAGAAGCAGTAGAAGCAGGCGCAGAAGCAGTAGAAGCAGGCGCAGCCGCCGCTGCCGCCAAGGCAGCAGCATAACAAGCAGCAGCATAACAAGCAGCAGCAGTAGCAACAGCACCAGCAGCAGCAGCAGCCGCAGGAGAACCTGTGGCAGCAGCAGCAGAAGGAAGGTCTGCTGCAGCAGCAGCAGGAGGGACTGCAGCTGCAGCAGCAGCAGAACTCCACCGACTCTGCTGCTGGCCACGCTCAGCCGGTGACTGACGACGGGGAGGATGATTTCACCGTCGTTGAATCACGGAAGCGAAAGACTAGAGGAGGCACTGCGGTGGGGGGGTGTGGTGGCACCCATCCAAAGCGCACAGCCGCAGCCAAGGAAGACAACAGCAGCATCGACGAGCGGGACTGACCGCCTAGATGCAGCAGCAGAACGTGGCGATGAGCCCGAGCCACAGGATGTGGCGATAGACAATGACAAAGCCAACCTGCCGGACGACGCCGAGGTGGACGGGCGGCCACCAGACCCGGACTTGGCGGCCCCGGAGGGGGAGGGGGGGGGGCTGGAGGCCACCGCCGTACCCGCCGGGGACACGGCGCTCGAGGGTGCCGGCCGGCCTACCTCCTCACCCGACGGGGTGATGGCTAGAGAGGCCACAGAAGAGAGCCAGCCTGAGCTCGAGGGAACCTCGAAACGGCATGGCTCGACAGAAGAGGCGGCAACCGAGTCTTACAAGGAAACGCACCTCGACGCCACTCTGCAGGCCCAACGCCAGCACCTTATGAGCAGCCAGGCCTTCTTTAGTCACGGAAGAGACAACCTCGCTGGGGTTGCAATCATGTTCGGCTCAAAGTTTCTCCCGGAGGGCGTGGTCTTCAAGGAGATCCAAGAAGGACACTTGATCTCAGTAGACTTTGTGTTTAACAACACGAGGCTGAGATGTTTTAACGTGTACGCGCCGAGCACGAGCCGCGAGAGGAAGCGTTTCTTCTCTGGCACACTGCGGGATGCCTTAGAGGCAAGCAGTGCGAACGAGGAGCTTACGGTCGAGGGTGGAGATTGGAACAGCACCCTCGACCCGGCACTCGACCGCAACAGCCCTGAACCCCCTAAATGCATCAGCCTCTCGTGTGTGTCACGAATGAGCTTGCCCCTCAAACACAACGGAACAACAATACAGAATTTTTGCAGTACGACGTCCCACCGCCTGAGGAGATCCTCCGACCCTCTAGAGCGGGAGGCCCAAAGCCTCATTCTGGACAAGGAGGAATCATCCACCTGTAGGCGTGTCCAATGAGCCAGCGACAACCCCAGTAAGCCGGACCCCTCGGCGGGGACCCCATCAGCTGGGATCGAATCGGCGGTGGCGGCCATAGCCGGAATGCCCTGCAGCGGCGGACCGCAACGCAGCAAACCCTCAGTACACCTGCACGAGCCTGACGGCTGAGGCAATCGCGATTAAGCGTCCGCGTTGACA